GTGTCGTTATTCTGCAGTTGTACCAAACTTCAGTATTATTACAGCGATGATTTAGGTTAATTATATCTCTGTGATAAGTTTTTATTTGATAATTATTATAGAATAAGAGAACTCGATTTGAATAAAACAATTATTACTTTCAGTTGTCTTCAAGGAGAAAATCTCAATAATTTACTTTAATTTATTTAAAATAAGAACAAATGATTTTATCTTGAGTTAAGAGAACTGGTGTTTTTGAAAAACATTCACTCTCACCCCACACCCCAACATCTGTTTTTGTGTAGGATTCAAAAGATGATTTTGTACTTTTGTTTTTGTTAAATGTTTCAATAGGATTAAAACTTGCATTAATATTTATTTGTAATCATAAGTCTGTTTACAATAAGGATAGAAAAACTACGTAGTGAAGTAGCTGAAAAAAAAAGTTTCATTGGCGAAGAAATTATTGTGAGAGCGTGTCAACAAAATTTCTCTCCCTATCCAAAAATCTGTCAACTTCGTCCGAAAAACATGAAATAACACGCGATTATGATAGCAATATAATAACTGTATTTTCCATACCACAGTATCAACAAGTAACGTTCATCATCAAGCGATTCACTTAGCCCTAGACTGATAGAATACATGTACGGATGGAATAGCATAAAAAGCTACATTAAAAAAGTAATACGCAACATTGATAATATGACCAGTATACCTTAGGCGACCAGAAAACTTAATTTGGAGAATTCTCACTCTAAGTAAAGATGATGCATTTACAAATTTAATTTTTTTTTATCATTTTTGTTTTATTTTTTTTTGCTTTTATGAATATAAATAGCGCCCAATAAGATTAGACAACAATACGATTTTTTTATAATTATATTGGCGCTATTTGTACGTACAAAAATATGAATTATATTATTCATAAAATTTGAGTTTTATTAATCAATATTTTATGCTTAAATTCACGCATTAATTCTAAACTATTAATAAATTAGATATTCATTGATACAACATTGCACAATCAATCTTACAATAATGAATAATTTTAACGATTTCTTTAAATCCATACTGCTCTTTTGGTCTGACTCTCACTAATTAAATGCTTGTGTAAGTAAGCCGTTTTACATCACTACCCAAATTATAGTTATTCCATTGACATTTTACCCATGATTATTATGGGTTCATTTACATCAGTCTTTAGATGGTCATTTGTACCATAGTTACCGGAATAGTTGTTTGTACCATGATTGCTATATGGTCACTTGTGCCATAGTTATGTGGTCGTTTCTACCAAAAAAATGACCGTTTGTGCCATAGTTACATGCTCATTTGTACCATAGTTACCTAGTTAATTTTAGTAAAAAAATGGCCGTTTGTGCCAAAAAAATGGTCACTTGTGCCAAAAAAATGGCCATTTGTGGCACGAAAATGGTCACTTGTGCCAAAAAAGTGGTCGTTTATGCCATAAAAATGGTCACGTGTGCCAAAAAATGACCATTTTGACTGCGTTACCGACAGACAGACAGACACAGGTGAATTTCGATTTCTAGACGCTAGCCTTTCAGTCTTGGGAATAGAAAGAAAATCTTATTTTATTGGCTTTGCGCGCCATTCGAAATATATATTTATTTTTATTTTAACGATCACATAGTTACCATATGGTAACCATACGTGTTACAGACAGACAGACAGACAGACAGACAGACAGACAGACAGACAGACAGACGGACAGACAGACAGACAGACACAGGCGAATTTCCGTTTCTAGACCCTATACTTTCAGTCTAGGGAATAAAAAGAAACTAAAAAGCCAGCTGAAAATACTTTTTGATGAAGATGAAAACTAGAAAGAATGCCATGGTTACTAATATCCAATAGATACGCTGCTGATTATTCTGGACGTTCTGAAGGAATTGATAATTCTCCAAAGACTGGTTGATCCTGTGTTCAACATACATTTTAACATTGTCTGCTTGAGTCTGTAGTTCTTGATCAAGTTGACGAAGTTGACCAGACACATTAGATGGTTGATTTTGATGTGATGCATGTCCATCCATTACAAGATCAATTATCTGAAGTGGCAAAGTGACAATACCTGAAAAAAAATATAATGTACTAGATATATAATAACATGATCATCTTTCGCCTAAAACGGCTGAAGCAGCACTAAAAACACGAATTGAACGACCTGTTGATGATGCTACACGTGTAATACGAACGACTGAACATGCTAAATTAGTTAAACACGCCGATTCTTGGAAAAAATTACGTTGCATGCTGGAGGAGATGTGATTACGAAATGTGTTGTTGCGTAAATTTGTCATAAATTGCCTTAAATCATTATTTAACTGAATAAAGTTTTTCTCATCAGTTTGACAAAGCCTCTGCAACTTGTTCAAATGCAATTTCGTTAAAATACGTTCGGCAAGATCAGAGCCCAAATGAGTTAGACCACTTGTTGCTATCAAGACGCCACCACCAATGGTGAATACAAGTGATAAGCCGCCAGGTGGACCAGCAAGTGCGCTTCCTGCTAAACTGATGAGTGTGCCACCTATCCCGATACTACCAGTTACAACCTTGGTAATTTTAACATTCTTGGTGTGTTCATCTAGTATATTGGCACAATGATTGAGAAAATTGATTATTTCTCTTCTTTTTTCAAGAAAAGCATTTAATTAGCGTTGAAGAGTTTGTAATTGTACTTCTACGTTAGCCATTCGAAAATAATTTTCTAAATGAAAAAATCTTATCGATTACACCGTTAATTTAGAGTAAAACTTTTTTCACTCTTTTATATAACATTCCCAATCGAAGGTGACTCACGTTTAAAAAAACGTCGTCGTAGACAGATGAAGAATACATTGTGTGCGAAAAGAAAAAAATACCATCTCCCGCCTGCAAGAACGAGCAACTTGATGAAGGAAAAAGCCAACTTTACCTTTTCTGTGTATCCGTTGCTGTGGCCGAACAAAAAAAACTATCAGTCTTTTCCCATTACGTACAATCGCAGAAAAAATATTGCAATTTTTCTTAACCCTTTGGGGACGGGGTATTTTTGAAAAGATAGTTTTCTTATAAGAAAGAAAATAGATGTTTATTCAATCAAAAATCATTATCAAAAGTGTTTTAGGGTACGATAAGCGTTGAAGCAGTCAATTGTTCCTAACTCAACAAAGGAAAATGATTCTATAGACTACTTTCACTCAGTTCTGATTGATTTGGCATATATACCATACCAAAATTTTGAGATATACTCGAAGTGGTATATATACCACGACCGTCTCCAAAGGATTAATTACTCATCATTTTTCATTGCGTTTTTGTTATGATTATTTGTTGGCCTTTTGGCATCCTTAAGATTATGATCTTGCAATCAATATGGTTGCCATATCAATGAAATGACTAAGGTATCACTTTCATTTATAAAAGGCGTGATCACAGAACAGTTAAATTATTTCTTTATATTTTCTTTATATAGACAGAAGGTAGGTATTAAAGTGTAAATTCATATTATTCGATTTCGTTTATAATGTGGTTTATTCTTATATTAATATATTATTTTATGTTTCCTCGTTTAGATTTGTATTTTGTAATCTGAAGTTCGTCGAATAATACTAAAAAATGAATGTATTTCGAGTATTTTTTTTCACGAGTAGAAGATCAGATATGTGATAAATGTGATAAAAAACAAAATTAATATTAAGATTTTGTATTTTAGATTCCATTATCGGACACATGGAAAATAACTCTGTTTTTATCCGTGAGTTCGAAACTAAGTTAAAAGATATTATAGCCGATTTGAATAATCATGATTTCATACGCTCATTTCTTGAATATTTATATACATCATTCCATGTCCCTATTTCAATACCAGCTCCTGCTAGGTTGAAGACTAAAATCGATAGTTTCTATCGACAGTATCCTGGCATTGTTAATGACATAAAACACCTTTTTTATGATGAATTTATTATGTATATTATCAAACGCACATTTAATCTACCGTTTACTAACAATGATAAGGCTCAAACACAACATTTATTTCAGAGATTTTTCACCGAACATGAAGATAAGATCAAAATCATCTTTGATCATTTTTTTGATGATCTAAAACCACTCATTCTTAGTAATAAATTATCGGATTCTAAACTATTATGCCAAATGATCAATTCAAACCCAAAATTTGTATTACGTGAAGAGACAATAATTTATTTGAAAGCATCAGGAGCATCATTCTTAACATCAATAATGTATCAAAGTCAGATGAATTTACTCGAAAATCAAGAGATAAATTCGGCTGCACGTTCATCTTCAGTGGTACATTCAACTCCACGTCAAAAGAAAGCTTTTTTATTACTATTAATTTTTATGATTTTATGTGTTACAATTGGTTTTGAAATGTTTCGTTTTATTGTCTATTATCTTCTAGGACTCATATTTACTGTACTGTCTTTCTACTATCTGTATTAAGATATCTGAGGGTGTGGATGTGGATGTGAGCATGGGATGTGTAAGGAATGCAGTTGAACAGAAGAATCATATGCGCCCTCATACCAATACTCACACATCCACGCCCATACTCACACCACACCTTTCAATCACATCCACATCCACCCACACCCTTTCAGATAATTATCATAATATTTAATACCATTTGAATATTGCAATAATATAATCCATTTTATCTGCCTCATTACTGAAAAAAAGATCAGAAATACAATATATAAGAAACTCTATCATGTTTTACATTTTAACCTCACAGGGATTGTAATAACCGCTTGTTTGTCAACAGAAGAAAGTTGACAACTTAAAAAAATTGCTAATTTTTTGTTTTACAGAGGTGCATGAATTTATGAGTTTTTGTGATAGAAGTGTAACAAATCTTCATCGAAATGATTTTATTTATTTCATTTTTATTACACAGAATATTTATTTTTTTTCAAAAAATAGTAAAGGACGAAAATGTTCATTTTAATATAGTCTTCTGTGATATTTTTGATCAAGATATCACGTAAAATAGTCTCTATGTGAATAAAAACTTCAAATGTTTCATCTTTAATTGTCTTTAAGATGTCCTATTGTAATAGTCGATTTCTTCAAAATTAAATAGTTTGGACATAATACTCAATCGAAAAAAATCCTGCCATCTTTGAAAAGCTAGAGTACAGGGAATCTACATGAAACTATCGGACCTGTTGTGTAGTATTTATAAGTTAACGTTTGTTGTACAAAGTAAAAAGATCGACTGTTGCAACAATGTTTTTTGGTGATAATATTATCAATATGAAAAAATAACTTACTATAGTTTTAAGACACTTTTTATTTTGTTCTAGTCGCAAAGTCTATCAATTTCTAAAAAACATTTCTCCAAACAAGTGCAATAAAAGAGATGATTCATGTTAATAGACATCAGGATTAGCTGATCTGTCGCCATTCGACTTATTTTATAGATATTTTGAAAAGAATAGGTTTGTGTATTATATTTATAAGTGAAGGAAACTATAAAAACTTCGCGCAAATTATTTGAATAGTTTAAGGAGATGTTCATGTTTCTTTTTCATCCGAACTTTTCGAACATCCTATTGATGAATATGTAGCTCTGTAGAACGTGATCTAAAACAATCACAACTACTAGAACATTCAGTGACCTCATAAAAAAAAGCGAAACAAATAAATAGAAGCATATAGCATTTCATGCTTTACATTTCTAAAATATTGAAAATGAAAACGAAAGAATTGACAGATATATGATCTTATTCGATCGTACACTTTACTGCTAAAATGCAAATATTGTGTAAATTAATTCTGAAAAAAAGGAGGCATGCAACGTTATAAAAAAAATTAGGCTTCTTCGTCTTTTTCTTCTTTATAAATGTTTGATGTCAACAATCGCTTACTACTAATTGACTATAAATTTGAGTAATTCTTGTACAGATTCTCATTCACTTCTTCGACAAGTAATAAAAAACCGATCATGAAATTAATCATCATCATTTTTCTTTGTCTAATTTTTCTCAGTAAGTTAAATTATCAGAATAATTGAAATTATTCTTATTATATGAACTATTTAGCCGTACAACAAAGGATTGATGCTATCAGTTGCTATATTTTTGTAATAGTATAGACTTATCTATGCTTGTTTCATTTTTTATATATTGTACAAAGTTAAAAAAATTGTAATATTTATATACAGTCTAAATGTCTAAAATCATTTCTATGGCTGATATTGTTGTTTGACTTCGTTCATCATTATTTAAAAGTGCATCGTAAAGCACATCGAACTTAGTATTAATATCGATATTTGTCGATTTATTGATTTGAGCGCGTTTACTCCTAATCGAAACTTGTTTATTTATTTGACGTAAATTATTGGTAGAGTCTCTATAAGCAATTAATGGTATAGACTGTTGACAAGGCTGTATCCATATAAAAATATAATAATTATGCTGAATTTGACATGTAATAGGGATAGTTAACCATTTCAATGTCGTAGAGTTTGTGTCATTTGTTTGGATAATTTCTTTCTGTATGAGAATATCATTATAATCTAAGATATATAGCGTTAAATTCTGATCGAATAATGCAACTTTGACTCGTACAGCATTTATTTGTAATGGTGCAGTTAAATGAAAGCGATATCCATAAGCATAAATTCCTTGAAATGGTTGATATTTTTCTTCACCCGATAATTCTGATAGTTTTAGTAATGGTTGAATATCGTTACAATTAGTTAAAAATGTTTCTATTGATATGAAACCAAAATCTTCAATTAGTTGTTGTATTTTTGTTAGATCATCTTGGACATTAAAATGTTGAAGATCAAAAAAACAACCTTCAATTAATTGTTGATATTGGTCTGTAATTAATTGATTGTAAGTGATTAAATCATTTTTCATTTGAATTAATTTGATATGATCTTCAATATTTAATACGTATTTTAGAAATAATTCTCTGATTAAAACAACTTTTAAATGTTCTTCAACATTAGTTTTCTGTTGTCGAATAATTTGTTGTTGAGTGAGATATTTTTCTGTAGTTGTAGTAATTAAATATTCCATTCGTGCATCTAAAAGTGCTTGTAAATCTTTAATAGTCTGTTTAATGCGGTTCTTTGTTTTAATATGTGTATGGCAATGATGTCGATAAGCCTCTGTTGTTTTGTGACGTAGTTTTTCAAGATTTTGTTTCATTTCGATAATTTGTTGCATAGATGAATTAAGTTCAATTTTAGTTTTTTGTGCAAAATCTTCTAATGTAATAAATGTATGTTGTTGAT